TGTAACATAATTTCATTTTGCAACTCATTTTGAAATTTATTTCCATTTTGTAACTCATTTTAAAATTTATTTTTATTTTGCAAATTATTTTTATTCTGTAACTTATTTTCAGAAAATAATGCCAGACTTGAAGTTGGTTTATCAAAAGATTCTATTTATAATATCAGTTTCTAACTGTACTAATTTTCTTCTATGTGAACAACTAATTGCACGTTTGTATGATTTTTCCTGTGACATTCTATATATCTAAAAAAATGATTCAAAAAGAAAACCCCGGTTCATTGATGTTGTTCTATACTGTACATATCAATACATACACTACCGTCAGAAAGTTTAGGACCAAACGTTTGAAAGATATAATTTTGTTTTTTTATTTAAAATATGTGCTAATCCAATTTTCACAGTATTGTAATATGTCCGTGTGAAGATATAATTAAAAAAAAAAAAAAAAAAAAAAAAACCAATTGACAGAATTGCACGTTTTAATGTAAAAAATAGATTATTTATGTTATGTGTTTTAATATTATATCACATTGGTCCTAATCTTTCTGTAGTGTATAATAAAATTATATAATAAATATATAATAAAATTAAATTGTATAATAAATGTATAATAAAATTTAAATTTTACTTGAGTGAATAACATTGATAACATTACATTTAATATCAAAAAAAAAAACTTACCTCTTAAAATAAGACCAAAACGCTTTTAGGGATCAAGCGATAATGTCTGAACAGATGCTTAGAGATGAGCATAAAGAATAATAATAGGGAAGGACCAATAATATTCCCACAGCAAGAGTGTATACACTTAAATATATTTGCAGATGAACATAAGAACCTGTAATAGAAAGATACTTATTGTGACGTGACGCTTTTCGAGCGCCGTCACAAGGGCGATAGCCCGGCCGAGGGAGCAAAGAGTCCTGGTGTTGCTCCTCGCGTGGAGAGAGCAACCCGCGAGACTCCACAATCTGTGCGCGTTGTTTATATTGTCGTTCCCGTTTTGTATCGTTAATATCGTTTAAGATTGTAAGGCGAGACCCCGTGCGGGCGGCGTTGCGTATTTTGTGCCTCAGGGCGAAGATGCAGCATCGCCATGGAAACCGGACACCGGGGGATCATCAACGGGTGTCACGCGTTAATGACCCCACTGCAAAAGGTCAGGTACCGCGATCCCGTCGCCTCCGCCATCCTTATCGACTAACTCCGCTTTGATTTTAGCCACAAATTCAAAGAAGCGCAGAGAAACGCAGCAGCAAACCTCGCCCGGCTGCAGACGGCTTCGAAAATTCCGAAGATGCTGCACCCGGAAGGACCGGAGTATGGCCCGGCCAGCCTAACCAGTCTCTTCCAGGACATCGACTCATCAACACATTATCGGCCGAATGATTTGAGGAAATCACAGAAAGCAGGGGGGGGGAGGCGCCCTGGATGAACTGTGGGCAGTTCTCAGGGGCCCCTCTTTTTGGAAAATCGGCAGGATGCGCAGGAAGGCGACGCGGATTTGGAAGAACCTACGTGCAGAGCCGAGAAGAGTCACTGTTCGGTGTGCCGCAAGTGCGTGAGGACGAACACGAGGACTCAGCCCAACGACGCCGAAGACGCCGAAGACGTCCACTCGATGTAAGCCGCCTCTCGGGTAGCCGTAGAGTTCCGTCCGGTTATGGCTGGTAGCGTGAATCTGTTTTGTATTTAGTGTCTCTCACACAACTAACCGAGATTTGTGATACCGTGAGCACGTATTGACGCTCAATTACCGCGTGTCCAGCCGGCTCCGGATATCGCGTAAAAGTCTCTCCGTCTTGCGTGAATTAAGCGCCGACAGTCTCTTTCGTTTACCGTTTCGTTTCGTTACCGTTTCTGTTTGAAGATACCGATTGCTACCGTCTTTCCGTTACCGTTTCTTTTGAAGATACCGATTGCTACCGTCTTTTTTGCGATACCGTTTGGTTACCGTTTTTGTCGCGTTATCACCGTACCGGAAGTACCGTGGGTGAATGTCCGCGGGCGGATTTTGGTTCGGGAACGTTCTCTGCGAGATTGCTGTTACCACAAAGTTAGCGTCTCGGCGAGAAACGTGAAAGCCCGCGAAAAATAGCCGTTCCGCGACATCTCATTTCTGGCCGTTAGGCTACCGTCGTTCAAAGAGTATTTATTTGGCCTTCACCGGCCGCGTCGGATGGTCGTAAGATAAGTTATTTGTTTTGCTGGATATCGTCGGATCAGCTGCGAATTATCGTGATCGCGTTTCCGAGATTTCATGTAGTTATCGAACTTTATTCTTGTTACCGATTGATTGGGCGAATGGCCTTACTACCGTATCAAACTATTTCCGCCGTATCGGCTCCGGCCGAACTATATAAGCATCTTTAACCTTGTAACCGAATCACTGAAATACATCATTGTTAAATTTTAATTATTGAGTTGTCCTTGTGTTTGCCTCTCACTCCAGATATCTAACGTTAAATAAAAGAACTGCGCCCCTCTGCCATATACTGAGCGGGGAGCGACCGAGCATTTTAGAGAGCTGTTGAAGTTACCGATACCGCGGTGCGATTACTCGCACCTGGCGCCCATTTCCGGTTACCGATATCGCGTGAGTTACCTTGCTCCCGAATTTTGTGGAGTATCGCGAGTTACCGAATCGTGCAGTTATTGCCGATTTCGCGAGTTACCTTGCTCCCGACGAGCGTGGAGTACCGCGAGTTACCGAATCGTGCAGTTATTGCCGATTTCGCGAGTTACCTTGCTCCCGACGAGCGTGGAGTACCGCGAGTTACCGAATCGAGCATCTATTTCCGATACCGTGAGTTACCGAATCGAGCATTTATTGCCGATACCGCGAGTTACCGAGTCGTGAATTTACTGCCGACGCCGCGTAAGTTACCTAACTCCCGAAGACCGTGGAGTACCGCGGTTACCGATTTCCATTGGGCGTGCTCCCTCGGACCTGGCGTGATTCCGAGGCTAGTTCACGTTGCAAATTTATATAAGTTTGTTATAAAGCAGATATATATCAGCATATGAATTAATGTGTTTCACAAATTAAAATGTTAAAAAGCAAAAATAATAAAAATAAAATTTATTTAACAAAGCGTTATAAAAACAATTTTTTTAAAATAAATTTGTTAATTGTTTATACAAAAATTTTAAATATAAGCTCAATGTAAATTATATATTGGATTAAAATCAAGCAAGTGCTATAATTTCAATATTGTGTAAAGTACACATATACAATTTTAAATTATACAGGCCTCTGAAATTAATATTCCTATTGTTACATTTGAAAACATAAAACATTTGATTTCATAAATAAAAACATCACATTTAATGTCATACAAAAAGAATTAATATTGAAATAATCGTGTGATTCTTTGATTGAATGACAAGAGAAAGGTACAGCAAAAGACCAAAGATCAAAACGCTTTTCAAGATTAAGCGATAATGTCTGATGAATATATACCCAGAGATAAGCATGAATAATAATAATAGGAAAGGAATAATAATATCATCACAGCAAAGTATATTTGCAGAACATCAAAACTTATAACAGAAAAATACCTGTAAGTTAATGATGAAACAGACATATCGCTTAACGTACATATGTATAAAAAATTTAAAAGCACAAAATTTAAATTATTAAGACCTCTAAAATTAATTTTGCAAAATTGTTATTATATTTGATAATATATTATAGAAAATTTTCTTTGAAATAACCTTGAGAATTTTTGATTGTATATGATAAGAAAAAAGCATATATAGAAGATCAAAATGCTCTTAAGGATTAAGCCATAATTTCTGATAAGCAGATGTTGAGAGATGAGGCTAAATAATAATAATAAGAAAGGTTAATAGTAAAAGTCATAGCAAAGTTTATTACAATTTGCAGGTTATAATTGTTATGTCACAAAAATCTGTTATATCAATAAATTTGTGATAAAATAAAAAAAGGACGATTACCTTGGAGATGCTGCTTCTTTCTTCTTATAATTAGATCTTCTTAGCCATAGTGCGACTAGCAGATGGACACATATGAATATCACAAGTAACTAATGTAAGGCACAAAATATTTATGAACGCGGAAATGATATTGATGCAACGGGAAATTATTGCATACGTGACACGCGAGGACCGAGAGGACCATGGCAACAAAAGAAAAGATCTCTCGAAAAGGCGGGAGACGAGACAAATGAAAGTCACATTGCATGTTTCAAACAAACCTAACCAATCTCCCGATCACGCCACCCTAGCTAGTCCACAAGAACCAATCAGATGATTTCCCGTTTACAAAAATGCTAGTGCGCCAACGCAGCTATAAGCATCGCACAAGGCAACCAATCCGGGAGCAAGAAGACGTTGCGCGCGCTGACAACAGGATGCATGCACAAATTTACAATCAAAAATATATAAATACTTAAAAAATATTACAAATAATATTAAAAATAATAAAAATATTTATGTCTTAAAAATAAAAAAATGTTAAAAATATAAGAAAAAAATTGTCACTCCTATATGTGTAATTCACTTTTTAGCAATAATTATACATGACAATTTTATTGGGCTTTTTCCTTGTTAACTGAATAGACTGTTAGTTCAGAGTTCATCTTTTTTCTTTTATTTGGAAGAAAATAAAAATATCACAACCAGAATCATTCTGGATTTCTTTTAAATGTCTTGAGGAATATCTTAAGATTACGTCTTGGCGTTATGTGCTTTTATATCCAGTGGACATCCTGTGGATATTTATAGGATATAGTGGATATTTATGGATATTTATAGGATATTTATTCTATTATAATATTTGACATTTTTTAATTAGATAAAATACTTAATATAACTAAAACAGTTATATGCGTACATAAAACATTTTTAATAAAATATCCTACAAATATCCTAGGATAACCTGGACATATTGTGGATAATCCTCAGGACGTTTTGTGCTGTCTGGGTTTTATCTCAATTAAAAATAAAAAATAAAGACAATGCGTGTTCTGGGCATCGATCATGTAATTTCAAGTGAAAAGTTTCACTTTTCACTTATTGTATGTTGCGATCTCACGTGAAAATTTTAACTTTTCCACACATTTCATTTCGTGATTTTGTAAGAGCATCGAATAAAAGTGAAATCACTAGAAGCGAATTCAGTTGTAACTGATGAAAACTCGCCAAAACGACGCAGCCGACTGTCAATATACATTCAATGTATTATCGACTTATATTTTCTGCCACGTGCTTTGCTGGGTTGTGTAAAAATTAAAAAATAATGAATATGACATATAAACAGAAAGAAATCTTATTAGACTTTATGTCTAAACATATTGATGTTGTACGAGGAAGAGTTTCTCGTGATGCGGAGAGCCGTTCAGCACTGGTAAATATTAATTTTTTTTGCCTTTCTTAAATAATAAATATTATTTATGTACAAAAATCTAAATTTACAGAAAAGTTTATGGGAAGAAGTAGCTGAAACTGTAAATAGTTCCGGACAAGGACCAATAAAAACTTCAGCGGAATGGAAAAAGGTTAGCTAGTTGAAAAATTATAAATAATATTTACGCAATATATTTTTATCTCCTACATTTGTCTGTCTCATATTTTTAATATTGCATATGTATATTTGTTATACAGTGCTGGAATGACTGGAAAATGAATGTCCTAAAGAAAGAAAGCAAGAAAAGAGCACACATGCAAGGAACGGGCGGAGGACCTGCAGTAGCTATTAATATTTCCGACTTGGAGCAAAAACTATTGGCTATATTGACTCCAGAAGCAGCTGGTATGCCGAATATACCAGAAGGAGGACTAATTACTAAAACGAATCTAAATTCAATGGTATACGTACAGTTTTTTTATTCATAAATTTGCACTATTCCCTTGTATTTACTGTTATATTTATTATACACAGATAAGTTATCCGGTCAAATCAAAAGAAGTTGCAAAAACTTCAAACAAGCCATCGCATGTAAATGTACAACAAGATGTAGATGATAGTCAATTTCCCGAGATTCTACAGCATATACATGGTAATAATAATAATACATAAGCTTCTTTTCTACGATTTTACTTCATCGTTTCATTTTATTTCATTTTAGATAGTTTAGATTCTAGTACAGAAACAGAAATTGTAGAAGAAAAGGAAAACGTCGGAATGAGACTATCAAAGATTAAGAAAGTCAGCATGAAGGTAGTTGAAGAACCATCAAACAACAGATCATTGCATGTAAATGTACAAGATGTAAATGATAGTCAATTTCCTGAGATTCTGCAGTATATACATGGTAATAATAATAATACATAAGCTTCTTCTCTATGATTTTATTTCAGCACTTCATTATTTCATTTCATTTCATTGTAGATACTTCAAATTCTGCTACAGAAACAGAAATTGTAGAAGAAAAGGAAAACGTCGGAATTAGACCATCAAAAATTAAGAAAGTTTGCAAGAAGGTTGCAAAATTGCCTGGAAAACCGCCAAACACCGACCAGGATTTGCCACCGACAATGACAAACATGACATTACAAATGTTACAGCTTCAGCAAGAAAAGATGAAAATAAAAAAAGAAGAGCTTACAGTACAAAAGGAATTACTTGCCGTCCAAAAAGAGATTTTGAATGAGACAAAGGATTTTAATGCTATGAGTGACAATTACTTTGAGACTAAAAACTAATGCAAGGATAAGATAAAATTATAAGATTATTAAAATTATCGATATAAAGTTAATATTTTTTTTTACTATGAAATATCGACATAAAGCTAATATTTTGTTTTAATATTAAGTATTGCATTGCTTTATAAGACTGTTAAAATTATCAACATAAAGTTTATATTTTATTTTAAATATTTCTATTAAGTATTATATTATTTTATAAGATTATGAAAATGTGATACAAATCAAATGTGATGTAAGCCAAATATGATAAAGAAAAAAGTATACGGATAGTAGTTTAGTAATACTGTAATCATATAAATGCCATGTGATATTGTTATCGGATGATTGAATACTTCATAAATAAAAAAGTCTTTATTTACAAATGTTTACATTTATTTGTAACCAAAAGTATATACAGAAAGAATAAAAAAACATTTTTATATCTCTACAGGATTGTGCTAAGTTAATTAACTCTTTAACATTATATTATTCAGAAATATAGATGTACAAAATTTTGGCTCAAAACAAATTACTATTAGTATCTCTCAACCTTTAATATTTTTTTTTACCTTTTCTTTATCCCAATTTATGTCATGTCTATATCTATAAATATCTGTTTGATATATTTTCATCTTATTTTGTATAAAAGTCTAGAAGCGTTTAAGAAATTATATTGTAAAGAAATCTAAATTATTAAATTGTATACTAAATTCGTATGCAGGTACACGAAGAAGACATTAGAAAGATTCCAGCAAGATAAAGTTAAATGAAAATTTATGATCGAGAAATGACTGCTTTACTTGAATACATTTTTCACTGTGTAAAATATCGGCGAATGATATTTTCACGAATTTCATTTCCTGTAAGATGTGCATTTTCTTCACGGGGTACTTCATCTTCTATATCGATATCGTCCAAAAAAATATCAGGATCAGGCACATTAAAATGCTTTGTATAATTGTGCAAAACACAAACAGCGTTTACAATCAGAGCTGTAACAAATTAAAATAATACACTTAATATCAAAATAAATATTTGTATACGTGACATTATGTATTCAACGTGAAACCGTGTGAGCTTCGGCGGACGCGGATTAGCTCGCCGGAATCCAGGTTCGGTCGGTTGGGGGTATGTCAAATAAACCAAATACTTGTGTATCAGAAAAAATAATGAAACAGTGTTTATTGAGAAAGATGTTGATACGATTTGCCTCGAATGATCTGCTACAATGCTCGTGCATACATGCGAAGCGTGCGTAAGATGAATTTGAAATAGTATATAAATTAGCCAAATATCGGTGAAGTAATTAACAAGTGATAGCGAAATAGTTCTGTTAAAGTGGCGTGAAACGAATACAGAGTAGCGCGAAGATAAATGCGGAGTTTCGTTACTGGTAAAATAATTATTTGAGCAACGGTGGAATAATTATTTTAAAGCGGCGCAAAATATAAGTGAAAGCAACGTGAAAATAAATGCAAGATATCGGCAAAGGCGAAATAATTATTTAAGCAATGGTGAAATAATTATTTTAAAGCGGCGCAAAATATACGAGCGAAAGCACGTGGAAATACATGCAAGATATCGGCAAAATGAAATAATTATTCGAGCGGCGGCGAAATAATTATTTAAGGCGGCGTAAAATAAATGCGAAGTATACGTGAAAGTCAATGCGGCGTATCGTAATAATGAAATAATTATTTGAGGCGACGGTGGAATAATTATTTAGTATGACGTGAGGCGTCCTGGTGCGGTCGGCGAGAGCGCAAGCGCGGCGATCGTGTCGCAACGGTTGGTACGAGACGGAGCGCTCGTCGGTGAGTGCGTTCGTAGTATCGCGAGTCTGTTCGATCGTAGATCGATGCGGACTATTCGGCGGCGCGGATTGGTCGGCGCGGTGTTGCTTGCCGGACGGATTATCGTTATGAAATCCCGGCGAATAAACGCGGTGTGCGGACTTAGGCTGCCGATTACGTTCGGCGGGAGTACGAGGATGCTCGTACGAAGACGGAATTTAGAATAGCGACCTGGCTAGGTATGCGGAATGCCCGCAATACAGAGTTCGGTGGCCTGGAGGAAC